GGGGAGGAGGGTGAGAAATAAACCCTTGGCAACTTCGTTCGTTCCTTTATATGTGTCTAGTCTATAGACGACGCGCCGCGAGATACGGGATTTTCTCATTGCTCGTTTGAGACCGGCTGAAGCCGGTCATTCATCGGCTCAATCGAAGCATCGACGCGCTTCTTTTACGTTCGCGCTCGTTTCAGAAACGTGCTCTCGCTAATCGAGAATATTTTATGGCCGTAATAGTCCGAGCGTCCCCGCGGGAGAGATCCGCGTAGAACTTTCGCGGACTCGGAGAGACTCAACCGCGGATTCTCTATTTATCACTTTTTATTTAGTCCGCAAAGGCGATATTTGTACCGCTGTAAAACGATGTCTAAGTCCGCAGAAATACCCAGGGGAGACTCGAAGAACTTTGACGATCCATTCATCAACCTGCCGCCAGGTCCACTTCCACCGCTTTTGTTAATGAAGTAGCTCGAGCGAGCACTCGCGCTATAATAGACTTCGAAAACTTAGAATCCGGGGATAAATTTCGAAGTATTGCGATTAATAATCGCGCCGTGTGCGTCTCTGTAATCTATTTGAGCTTTCAGATCGTCGGAACCATCCATTTTCATTCACTATCCGGTTACTAAACATGTCAATCTAAAGTGACACTTTTCATCTCTGCCCCGCGGTTTAAACATACCAATAAATAAAAAAAGGCTTTGTACTAGCCAAGAGCGCGTTTATTTGGAAATATCGTTCTTTTGTTTCGACACGATGACTGTTTTGACATATGCGAACGACAGTTGATGTGAATGCAGGAAAACGATTTCACGCGGAAATAAAACTTTTATTACGTCTATTAATGTCGCGAAAATAAAAATTTACTTTCACGTAGAGGATAATATATTACTCACGTTCTGAATGATAATGGATAACGTGAATTTATGGAAATGAAATAATTTTCCAAGTGACAAAAATGAAATAGATTTCCCAAGTTATGGAAGTCGGTAGAGCAAATTGGAGTTTCAGTCCATTTTGTGCATTTTTATACTTTTTTAATGCTTCTGATGATATATGTATCTACTTAAAATTACTGTCCTTTAAATTATCATACATTTAATATGTGCTTAGACTTTAATTTTAATTAACAATTCTCTTATGGAATCGAATATAGTTGAAAATTGATATTTGTCTTTAGAAATAAATAAATGGAGTTAGGAGACTACCGTGAACCTTACAAGATTTGCAAAATCGTTCCCAGTTTGTTGTTTATCTTAGCAGTCTCGTCGCAGCTTATTTACTTATTTACCGCTTGCTTACGGCGCGATAGGATAAATATATGAAATTTCCTGAAGAAAGCCACTTCAGCTCGCAATTCAAAAGTTATCGGAGAAACAGATGAACGAAATAAAACTTCCCGAGTGACACTTAATTTCTCTTCCTCGGCACCGAAGAAAAATGAGGTGCGCCGACTGCAACGTATTCACCTCGCTTCTTGTTTCATGCAGAAATAGAACTTTTGCGATGCTCGACGGGGTTATATATATTTTTTTCGTAAATTCATATTTTAATTATTACGGTATTAATCAGTGAAATGTAAAATGCAAATCGACGGTAATAGCGACACCACCTTCGTCGCTTATGAGAAAACTGTATAATTTCCTAGAACCGGCCTGGGATTGTCGGGAAAGGGAGGGAAAGAAATAGAGAGCATTTACAACGTTACGTAAATTAAAATGAAGAATTGCGCAACGTTAATAGCGCATTTTCCTATCTGTCTTTCCGCCTCTTTCCCGGCAAACTGTCCGCTATATAATAACGCGCATCATCGGTCTTCCACTTTGTACCACCTAAACGCATTAAATTTGTTAAACTTGCAGTGTCGTTTTACGGGGCGAGCTACATCCATCTTCCGGTTCAAGAGGCCAAGGGTGCTACTGACATCAGTTTCCGGTTCCGAACTCATCTCGCCGATGCTATGCTGCTATTGGCTGCTGGCAAGACGGATTACTGCCTGATCAAACTCGAAGCCGGCAGATTGAAGGTTCGTTTGCCCCTGGCGCTTAGTTCTATTAATAGGCTTTCTGTTTGGTGCCCGGTCGCCTCGTCGTCGTTAACGGGCCGCACGTGCTACGATACGCCTGTCAGACTTCCCTGTCTCTCCTCTCCCTTGTCCTTGCGGAGAAATTAGACGCTGCGCCGTGACACGCTGGAAAAAAAAGAGAAAAAAAGCGGAGTCTCGCGTACGCGCTAAAATATTCCTCCCATGAGGCATCAAGAAAAGAGGAGGATTTCACCGCGCGCAGGACGTAACATTTGCGCGCGTGTCCGCGGTTCTTATTACTTGAGGATCTTTCTTATTTCTTGGCGAAAAGAGATGGCACGATTCCAACGACATGACGAAGGGTATTGCATCCAGGAAAAGATCCTAATCATCACAACGTGGCGAATTTTGCGGTCCGCGTATTCGACGCACGTAACACCGCGCAAATAAGAATCTTAATTCTTAATCCGTAATATTGAGTATTATTTCGAAACATTTGTCCATGTTTAATCTTGTAAGTTTTAATGTGTTTTAATTTAATATTTTTTCGTTTACACTGCAAGATATTCGCACACACAATTTCTGTGAGAGGAATATAAATTAACATTTAGCCAACATGCCCTTTTTTATTTCTTTTACATTTTTTTTCCTTTAACTGACACTGCAATTTCTCAGATTGTTACTTTGCACAGTTACTCGCAAGATAAAAATATTAAAAGAAAAGCGCGCTTATATTGTTATCAAGAGGAAGATGGAAGAAAGGTGGAAGAGCAGATTCTAGGCCGAAGGACAGGGGATAGAACAAAGGCGATGATCTGTGAGAGATCGCTACATATATCAGTTAAGGGTTAATAAAAGAAGGCAGCGGCATTGCAATGTTAAGCGCGGTTAAGGGTGAGATAAGAGTTAAGAATAGGATAACGTACTTTTATACCGTGGCACATCGAAATCGATAACGCCATGGAACAGCGTTTCTTCGTCCAAAACTTCAACTTATCCCACCTATTAGAATAAGTTCTGCTTCTGTATTATTTAAAGATATACGGAGAAAAAAAGTTTTCTATTAAAAACGCTAATTATAAAACTGATAATAATACATCGATGTACAAGAATACACAAGCGACGCCACTTGTTTTTCACGTGTTGATATCGAGCCCGGAGTCTCGCAATATCTTACTCCGATATAAATACCTTACATGCACGTGTAGGGTAGAAAACCTTATGTACAATACAAAGGAGCAGACATATGTACCACAGAGGAAGAATCCAATAAATTGATTCGCCACGGGCGAGGTACGGCCAAACCAGCCGCCAAATTCAATCGCATGTAGATTTCGATATCGCGGAATATCGCATTTCGTCCGGTGGCAATTGCGCCACGATCGCCAAGAGTTAACCCGCTGCCACTATCGTATTCGAGCTGGTCGACGAGTCGACGTTCGCGAGAAAGGAGGAAGAGTGTTTTACGATAAATTCGTACGCGGTTTTGTCTCCGCCGTCATGAAAGATTTCACGGCGGAGTTGACAAGCAGTACAATGGAACGCCCTTGTTATTTCGTTAAAGGATCGACTTCCTTTTAATGGCTTGATAACGCAGCGTCGCCGCGCGTCAACATCGATGCAGCGCGGTTCACTCCGCAAACACGTACTACACAACCGACAACGGGGGAGCAAAACCGCATAATGTCTTTTCCATCGATGTTTCGCGAAATGAAATTGCGGCGATGCCGCGCGCGGACGGAGTCGATTTCTTTTTTTTACCACCCAATTTTATTGCGCGTCGATACGATACGTACGGCGCGACGAATGTATGTTTCGGCTCGAGGCTGGAATGCTGCTCGTCGCGTTCGTTTTTTGCGCATCGGTCAAAATTTCACGCGCGCGATCGGTCAGAACTGTCCGCCGCGCGAGACGAAAGTCACTCGGTCGGATTTTACGCAATAATGAACCTCGCGGTCCAGATGATAGAACGAGTTCTTTTTTTTTCGCCCCGGCAGAAAGAAAAAAAAAAGATCGCGCGCAAGAGTTACGCGCAAACGCAGCCACGGCACTCGCTCTCGGTTCCCCGGAGAGACGAATAGCTCCCATTAAAAATTACTCTTAAAGAAATAATTCATTCGTTGAAAACGCGAGTCGTGCGCTGATTTACGCGCAATAATTAAACGTACGGTATAATACGGCAATGCATACAAAATGAATGAACAAGATTCGCTCTCGATAATCCAGGAAAAAAAATCATTTGCCCGCGAAAAATGATAAAATAAAAATAAGAATTTATCATCCCCTCGACGTGATCCTTCGAGGATATCTATGTATTTCCGGCATTGCTGGAGCGTATATAGGCGTGAAAATACGCCGAATACATATCGCATTAAAACAAAATTCCAATTTCACATCTGTTCGTTAGCGTCAGAAATTGAAATTCCGATTGAATATACGCGGAATACGAACTTTACGTGATCGATATCTATGTTATTATGATGAGCGTCAAGATTGCCAGCGGTGGAGATGAACGTGGCTTCCCCTTGCATGAAACATGTACGTAACAGTGAGTGGTACAGCTACGCGCCTATAAACAAGTTTCACGGGCCATAATGAGAAGAAGGCTGACAGCGATAGAGTCCCGTAGCAGTAGCCATCCTGTCTCTTGATAATAACCGCTGATGAGAGCCGCGCTGCTTCTAATTATGTACAAAGAACGTTGCGCTGGAACGAAGTTACAACTTCGCCGCAGATTATTAATTCTCCAACGATTAATATTCCCGTGCATACTCTCATATTTTACATGACTCATTATCGCCCTCTTCCCCATCCCCCTTCGAATGAAACGTGCCTGGCACCCTAACTCTCTCGCGAGCTGGCACTCGCAATTGCGAGAAGTACAAGCGCGCGCGCGCGCGCGCGGTCGAATATTATTTTGCTGACAAGAGTAATTAGAATAATCGCTACGACTGTGATTATTTCAAAGTGCTCAATACACGGTCCATTTTAATTATTAAATTTATTGCAATCTCGAGCAGTAGGTACATCAGCTATTTTTCTTTTTTACTCTCTCTCAAGTTAAGAACTTTGTCTTGAAGATAAAAACCGCGTAGTACACCTCCCAATATATTATGTATTCGAGAGTATTAAAATGCTCTCTCCACTATGAGTGCATTAGCCGTGTGAAGGTGCGGTATCCTGATTACGTGCATGAATCCCGGCATGAAAACCGCGCGAATCTAATTTCGCGAAGGGTTAAGTCCGTGCGGCGCAAAGAAGCTGCTCGCCGTCGAGGCTTAATTAAATTTGTTAAGAAGATCGTTAAGAAGGATGAAGACAGGATAAACGGCTGGGGCAAAAAGTGCAACGGCAGTTCTGGGACCTCGTGTGCCTCCACGACGACGGGAGGAGTCTCGACCGACGACGCCTCCGGAGGCTTAAAAGCCCCTCTATCCGGGGCGATAATCCGATGATTCAGAAACCTAATTGCGGCGATATATCGCGGTATCGCCTTGCTTTACGGCTGGCGACGTAGTCAAGTCTCCAGTCTCTTACATTTCAGTATTTCGAAAGTTACGAAACTTTTTTTTTTCCGTGCAAAGTTCTTAATTAAATTTATTTTTTATATACTTATGATTATACCTTCGATTCATTTTATATTATACTTATACTTATATCTTTGATTTATTTACGTGCGTCAGATTTTGACTTTCTCTCTTTGCGTAAATGAAAATTTGAAAATTTTCAATTGCAAATACAAAAGTGAGAGAAGCCTTGTTAGAATAAAATATAGTTAATAAACTGAGGAGAGCGCCGAAAGCGTCATAATGAGTCCGAGATGCCGAGAATTTGATAGTAGCAAGTTAATATAATGAGCCATAATGCCTCGTAATTAGAGAAAGAGTCTCGTATTGTATCTTTCCTCTTCGTTAAGAGGACCGTAATCCTAGTAATTATGAAACATCGTTACTAGCAATGCGCGACATTTTTCCTGACCCAAATAAATATCTCTCCCCGGTGTTGAACTTGCATTTAAAAAGCAACGAGAGAACACGCCTATTCTAACAAACTAAACGGAAAGTGAGCATTTCGTTTCGCCGAGTGAGTGCATCTCGAGCGCGAAATGATCGTTAATCTTGAATCTTTCGGTAATCCGGTGAATTGAATTTTAATTACTCTGGCGTATCGCAATATTTACTTTTCGATGCGACGCGACGTTTATTAGCGGCGGCTGACGGGAAGGCTGAAAGGAAAATTTTCTGCGGTACATCGCGACGATGAATGGATCATTAATCGGAGCGCTCTTGTACGTCTCATGGCGTGCATTTCTTCCGCTATTACTTTGCAAGCGTCGCAATCTATGTTTGCGGTAAAACTCGGATGCCGAGTGTATCACAATAACTCGGCCGCAACTGAGCCACCGGATAATCCGACGATTCGGCGTTCACGTTGGAATGCATCGGTGTGGCTTCCGATATTGTTCACTTTCCAATCGTCGATGCATTCATAATGCGGCCACCCTGCGACTGTATGTACGTGTGTGTGTGTGTGTGTGTGTACAAAGGCGCGTTTACATTCTGCAAAGTGTCTCGCCTCGCGCTTATACATATTAATGGGTCCTGCATAGTCATCCGGCATTGCTCCGACTACTATCGTCGGCCGTGCTCGCAACTCGCGAAAGCTCGCGCCTTTATTATCGGGTCGATCATAAAACCGGGCGAGATGTGCGCCGCTGTGCAGCGCCAGTCGAAGGGGTCGCCGCCGGTGCGGGCTTAAGCGCGGTTGGCGACGCTGCGCCGCCACTGCGACTTTAGTCTCGGACGATCGACTTTTCATTAAGAGGAGAACCTCAGCGGACGTTTCACGGACGAACTCTTACGTAGGATCAACGAAAACCGCTTGAAGAATACCGTGGCGACCGGAATGCCATAAGTCTCGGATGCTCGAACCGGGTCGCGATTAAAGCCTCTTTATCAGGGCTCCGCTACTTCACCTCTGACTATAAAGCGCGTCGTGTACTATCCGGTAACTCGATAATGTATTACATCGCTCGTTGAAACATAGGGCATGTTTGAGCGAAGCTATAGAAAATAATCGCGGGAAAGACATTTATCTACAGCATATATAGTCATCCTACATTCAATTTTCCTGTTTTATATTCCTGCAAAAAGTTTATTCATATATTTTTAATTTTATATCTTTCTCTCTTAAATATAGATAATTAATATTTAAGTTTTAATGAAATATTTAATACTGCAGTAATAAATCACTATAAATAGAAAAAAAATTTTTTCAAGTTTGGTACACGTGGTACTACACGTATAATTTTTATCAAATCAATTACATGTGAGTTCCTCTTATTTTCCTTGAAATTCCATATATTTTGACTTTATATCAATTCTGTATAAATGCCTCAGACAATATCCATCTGGCCGTAAGAAAATTTATCATCAAACATACTACGATCTATAACTATTTGAGAACGTACAATGCCGAGCGACAGCGTAGCAGGCAGCGGTTGATTTAGGTGACTTCCGCGAATCTAAATATGCACAGGGAGTTTGGAATTTATACCCGAGTGGATGTATTGTAAATCCACCACGCGTAACTAGGAATCCCCGGTGGCGCGATTACAAAGTGGCTGCGCAGTAACCGTTGCCGCACGACGCGTTTTAAGGGAATAACGATACATATCTCCGTCTCATATACGATCCTTACGCATATACTCAGGTAAATATAGAATAATTGCGAAAATGGAAAACGGTGTATCTTATCAGTGACATCGCTAAATTGCAACCGCGCCGTCACACTTCATAATTCATTACTGGATACTGGCAAAATACGAGTATGAGAAGCTATCGGGGGGAGGATTCGACATTTATTTTTCGTACGAGACCGAAAGCCGTTTTCACTGTCTGTCTAGCTGTCTGCCTTCTTCATTCTCTCGGTGTGCAAACTCATTGTGCGAGTGCCTCAAGTGCAGACGGAATACACGAAACCTCGAGCTGTCGGATTCCTGTCAGCTCACGCTGTCGGAGAATTTGCAGGGCATGACTGGCGCCAGGAAACCTCGTACGCCGAGCTTGGTACTACTTTGGCAATCTAGACTTTTTTTTGCGTATTTACATCTCCTCCTCGAAAAACACGAAGAATGGAACACTTCCACTGAAATCACGAAATTCCCAGCAAATTAACGAGATTCTTTAACGAGATAAGTTTAATCTCGCGTGTTGAATTTTAACGTTCAAAAATCCACCGTTTTTATTTCAAAAGCGATTATAGTTTTAAAAAATGTTTTTCACCGCTTATAGACTTTTATCGGATTTCGCCTATTTTCTCTCTCTCTCTCTCTCTCTCTCTCTCTCTCTTTCTCTCTCGATGCGGTATAATTATTTCTCAGCAAGTGCGAAACTTTTTGATCACACCGTCGAGACCGCAAAGAAGGTAAGCTACCTTACAGCATTATGACGGAGGACGCTTCTAGTGGCTTTTGCGCGCAGCCGTCAGTTACTTCGTTCATTAAATCTCTTAAAAGTATATGCGCATCTCTCTCTCTCGCTATTCACCGGTGAAAACTCTTTACGCGTTTCCATAATATTTTTTTTACGCGCTACACGACGCTGACGCGGAAGAGCATAAAGCGCACCGGGTCTACGGCCGGAAACCGATGCTCTATTTCGGAGGAGGAACAACCGGCCTCGGGGAAAAAAAGACCGAGAAAAAACAAAACAAGAATACATTTGTACAGCGCGCGCGTACGTATAAAACCCATTTGCGGTAGCGGCGCGTTCACAATAACTCCGGTAAAAATGAGACTGACTTTTACGAGCGGCGCTCTCCTACTGCTTTTTGTCGCAGGTCCACATTAATCTGGGCGCGGGTGAGAATGAGATGGCGAGCGCCCGCGGGTTGACACTGAACGACCTCAGTTGGCACGAGGTCAATTTGACAAGACGCGAGGCCAACATCAGCCTGCAGATCGACGTGATACACACGACGAGGTCCCAACTGCCGGGTCGCTTTTTCGAGCTGAACATACACTACGGCGTTTTCATCGGCGGACAGGGCGACTTCAACGAGCTATTTCTAGGTAAGACGGCAAGGCAAGCAAGGAAAAGGCAAGGCGAGCCTCGGGTTCATCCGGATAAATTGTCTCGCCACGTGACTGAACTAGATTCGATACACTGCAGCACGTCGGCAAACATTATATCCGTCGACGTTGCATTCGCGCCGCGGTCACGACCATCTCTCTTTTCTTTCGCTTCGTTTCGTTAAATGGTCGGCAATCCAGCCCGCCTGCAGCGGACGACGATGGAGAGATTAGGTAATCAAGCCTAAGAGCCTCGCTTAATAAATAATTAGCGTCGCGTTCGCGCACGTCTCGAGCACGCTGTTTTTCGTAGCTGTCGTCAGAGACTTCGGTGGTAAACTATTTCCAGCAAATTGGTTTATATCGTATGCCCGTGAGGAATATTGATAAAATAGAAATACACAGGTGTAAATAAATTTACAGTAAACAACGGAAATATTATACAGGATTTTTCTGGATGTTATTGTTAACTATTGCATGTAAACGAAATTGAGATGAGACGATGCCACAGAACACGATCATCGTATGCAATTTTTTAGTTTTATCTTTATTGAATTTTTTTCGAAAAAATTGCAGAATAAAAATTTAACATTTTAATATTTCGCTTTTATCACGTACCAAAAACTAAACTCAAAGTAAAGTTATGATAGTGGTGAATTATTTACAGTAAAAATTTAATTTCATAAACAGTGCACATGAGAAAACTTAAAATTAATAAATTAATAATTGTTTGACTAAATTAATTTGCGTAAAATATATTTTATATACAGACTTATCACATTAATAATATCAGAATAGTTACATGTTCTTTTATTTAATTAAATAAGACTCAACCAAATTGCTATAAAAATAATAAAAATAATAAAATTAATAAGTGCAAAACCAAGAAATTTTTAAAAAATAATCCTGATTAAATCAAATAAAACTTATGCGTGGATGTATTCTTATTGCGAACTCAAAACAGCAGTAATCAAATATTAAATATTTTATACAGAGTGTCCTGTAATCATTAATATGTAATATTTCAATAACGGACATGTTCTGGGGATTAATTAGAATCGATAATTTTAATATGAAAATGTCGAAATTATAATAATGTTCAAATTATACACTGATCAAAATTGATTAATAGGATCAGTTGTAAATTCATATATACTTAGGCCTTACATTTATACGCACACCATCTGTTTTTATTGTTAATTTGTATGCATTGAATAATATTGATTTCGTATTGCTACATTGATTTTATCATTTGATTTCTTATGGCCTTTAGATGACTTTATATTACTTTGTTTTGAAACGATATAAAGTTGAATCATCAATAAATATAGACAGAACAGATTATGAAAGATTAGGATAAAGTTATTATTATTGTGTCTTCTTATTAAACAATTAGTTGGAATATACTGTATATGATTGTGAGAAATAGATCTTTCTTTTATTCATATTTGTGGTTATTGAAAAAATTTATTTATTATTATTTTTTTTGTAGCAATATATATAATATTTAATCTTGGAAAGAAATATACTGAGAAAAAGAACTCAATTCTAATAAAAGTATATCTTGAAATGGGAAAGAAAGAAGAAAATAAAATAAACCGTTAATTATTTTTCCATGTTATAAAAATTAATTTATTTTTATTTTATACGAATACCTACAATACATATACGATATAAATAGGTTGCTGTCTATGAGAAATGAACACCATCAAGGAACTTAAATAAACATTTATTTTAAACATGTCAGCATTTTACTTAATATAATTTTATTTTATTACTTTCTCTTTTTTTTATTATTTACTGTTTATCTAAACAATGAATTCTGAAATTTTAATAATTATAACAATTATAATACTTTGAAAGTTAAAGTTAATACTTTAAAACATTTTTCAGAAATAGCATTATTAATATATGATAATATCTTCATGATATTTTTTTTCTGAAAATTTTATTTAAATATCTCTATTATATTTATTTAAATATAATAGAGTGACAAAAAAAGTAGCAAAAAGACGTAATGGATATCTTTATTAAATATAGAGATAATTCTTTTTTTGTTAAAATTATTCTACTATGATTTACCAAGCTTTATTCTACTTTAAGGAAATGTTTTCTTTCCTTTTGTTTTCTTTTTTATTCATGTTAAGCAAGATTGATTAGGTTATATATTTTCAGCAATTGGAGTTATACATCTTGCAATTTTTCATTATGTAATAAAGCCACAAAATGTTTAAAGTATAAATTGATAGTAACCTCTACAAATTTTTTTTTGTATGTATATTCTCATGCATAAATGCATTCATATATCAATTGATGATCGTACATTGCCCAGGATTAAATAAATATTAAGATTAAACTGTTATGATCCATTCATTTTAAGGCAATGGATCTGTGAGATGTTATATCAGTAGTATTCTTACAATCTTTAATACAATTATCACAAATTAAGATTGAAAAAATGATTTGCCATTCACCGATCATACGCTGCGCGCAGCAGCGGAGTTGTATGTTACACTGCAAACTACATTGAACTGTAAAATACGAATATACCCAAATTATTACAGCGCTCAAAATAATTAATATTTCAAAAAACAATTATTACACACATAAAATAATTATTAATTCTGCAAATATGTAATAAATAGTAAATAATAATGAATTAAAACTAAAATCAATCACTCGCTGTTTATTGTAAAACAATATAACAATATAAACAGGCCAAAGACGAGCAATAATCGGTGAACAACGTTAATTTTATTTTCTCATTATTAACAATATAGCGAATTTATAAAAAACTTCAAACGTGTACATATACAAAATACACTTTAAGTATAGCTTACGCATGAAAATTTATTAAAATGTTTTCAAATTCGATTCAGATGTTACATGAAATTCATGTAGACATTAGGTATTTGTTATCACAACTATAGATGACGCGTGGATCTGTGTGAAAACGACCGACTTTCAGTCGACGGGTTCCAAGTCCCGTCGAGATCGATTTAAATCCCAACTCTAATCTCATATGTAGATTTAGAAATCCATTACTTTTTAAGAATGTCTTGTCTTATGTGTGTATATAAAATACACTTTGAGTAACTTACATATGAAAGTTTTTTTTAAGTATTTCATCGGTATTATCTGCAGATCGGATTTTGGATGTTGTATGAAATTTGTGATGTTTTCATAAACGTATATGTGTGAACACAAAAAGAACGTATATATGAACATTTATATGAATATTTATGATAATAAATAACAAACTACAAATACAAATTTCATACAACATTTGAATTCTCAATTTAATTTCACATTTTAAAAAACTTTCATGTGAAAGATGTACTCAAAGTGTATTTTTTGTACACGTTGAAACTTTTTTATAAGTTCTCTATATAATAATATATTATATAAGTAATTTTATGAATAATGAGAAAGTAAAGTTAACTTAGTTAACTTACACTTATTATTGCTCGTCTTCGGTTTGTTTAATACATTATAATAATAAATTACTTATCCCATTGCTTCGTCGTCGTCCGATATTCTGTTCTTCCTCACTCTTTCATCCTTCTATATTTTTTCATTTTTCTTTATTTTTTTATAGTCTTACTCGTGAATACAGTTAACTATCGATTTTGTGCGCACTAATCACTAGAAATCAATCGCGCGAAAATTTACACGGCGATCCTAATAAACGGATTGATAATTGGCATTCGCGGGAAATAATCGCGTCCAACACCTCTTGTCGCGATCACATTTCGAAGGATAATACGACACAGTGTGATTCACATCGCCGTTCGAATTTCGCGAATGGTAGTAAGATCGCTTTGTACACATAATAGTTAAACATCGCAAAAAATAAGAGCAGCATACGGCTCTATCAATTTATTTACAAAAAAAATTAATGCTGAGTATATTTAATTCTGTGGCTGTTAAATCGATTGTTAATAAACGTTTATAATATTATGACTTTTTATTACGTTTGAATATAACTTTTGTTGCTTCTTTTACTGCTTCGATAATTAACTATTATATTAACGCGAAATATCTATTATGAATAATCGACATCTCAATGCTTTTACAAATCGTTAATCATAAGTTAATCGACCGCTAATTTAAACGTTTGTGAGAATATAATCGTGCTTCGAGGGAAAGTAATGTAAGAAAGACAGCCTACGCAGCTGTTGGCACCCGCTGCCTGCCGGTTCGATTTTCGCCGCGCGAGTGTTAACTTAAACGCAGCGACCTTGCATAAACAAACACCGCGTCGTGTCGAATGGTACGATTGTATCAATGCTGTTATGTGTATCATGTTATAAAATAGTTTTTTTTCTCGCATTTCAAATTAATTATTGATATTAATAATATCAATAAAAATTCATGGGTTGAACAAAATGTTAAATATTAGCATAGATATACATAAAAAGAAACAAGCTTTCCGTTCAATTCGTTCTTTCCGTGTACAAAAAAGGGAACAAACTTTTCGTTCAATTTAATATGTGTATACATATTGTATGTATAATTATATATATATATATATATAGCTAACTTTTGGGGGAAGGATATTACTAATCGATTTACAAAAAGAAGTTTTTTCGGCCCATCCTAATATATATCAGAGATACGTTAAAATTCGAAAAAATATTTGAATTTCAATACAGTTTAGTATTACTTGTTGTATTTGGTCGCTGCAGAACACGAATCCAAGATCAGAAGTATACATTTCAAAATGACGTATCCGAAATATATTCTTGAATAATACATTAAGATTTCTCGAAAAATATGATATAGACATGGAAAAATGTTTCAAATAAAAATTGTACGGTTCGGAGCGGGACATAAGAAAATATCATTGATTTTATTTTGGGTAGCGTCGTTAAGCTCAGATCAAGATCACATTGATTTTTTTAAATGGAATTATATATTTTTTTTACATAACATGATTCCTTTATTATTCTGCATATAAAAGTATTCAGATAAAGTTATCGAAAAATCAATTTTACGAG